AACAACGTACACGTGAGACTCACTGGAGGACAGGCGAGGTGAGGGGAAGCTTGATTTGGTGCTTCTATGTGAAGCTCCAAGAGGTGGAATGGGTAGCTTTATATAAGGCCTCCTTCGAGCAGCGCGGGGAATGGGCGCATCTTGGGACGAGGATGGGACCAGGGTCCAAGGCGTTGTTGGCTGGCGTGTCTGAGGTCAGGGTACTTACATCTAAATCCTCCCTTAGACTCGCATTGTACGCTCAAATCGGCGAGCTTCGATGGCTACACCGAGCTCATGTACCTATTCATTCGTGTGGTGCCATCCGGCATGTTGGCGTAGGTAGCTGCATCCCGCGTCCGCAGACGCATCCTCGACCACATCGACGCGCCACTCGGCCAACAAATGATGGTACATACACGAGACGGCATCCCACGCCTCGAGAAAGACCCCAGCCTGGCCTGGCCAAACATTGATCGGTGAGGATGAAAAGCACCTGAGAAAGACCGGAGCTGTTGGCAGACCACAGAGCTGAGCAAAGTCTAAACCCCCCTGTCCGTCCAAAAATTGCCCCGCCCCCAGACTTTCAGCGGAGTTATTGCTGCAAACCTGGCGTCATCACGCAGGGCAGGGCTGCCACCAGCAACCAGATTTCCAAGCGCGGGAAAGTCGGGAGGCAATGGCTCTAGGAATAATCGAAAAGCAGGAGAAGAATCGAAGAGTGAGGGGGGGACAAGGCCATGACAACACGTCTACGAACGAGCTTCCAACAATCGCCAGACAGTCCAGCTGTCTAGCTCATCCCATTGAACGGGGATGAGACACTATCATCGAGCCACTCAGAGAAGCGAGAGCTAGCGAGCTGCATCCAAATTGGAGAGCGGGGAGCGTGCAAGAAGTCCTGGTCTCGAATTGTAAGTGTGTAAACCAGACAGTGACAACACCACTCCCACCATCAACAACACCATCTCTTCTTTTCTTTCCCGCCAGGAGGTCCACTTGAACACCGCCGCAGTGCTTATCTTGCACATCCGGTACTCTTCCCCTAGCACACTACCTCAACAAAACATTCCCAAAGCCGGGCCAAGGAGAGTGGGAGCGTGGTAACACCCCATGGCACATGACATGAACTTACCGTAGTCTACTCGTCTCGACCTTGCCCGGCGTCCAGGTTCCTGCTGATAGGTATGCGCGCCCGCGATTCTCTCTCCACGCGCTATCCTTGGAGTGCCCCCCCCCTCGCCGGTTGTTCCCCGGTTTGCTGGCCTTGTAGCGCCAGCCCTTGGCGTGGAGACGCTGCCTCCACATGCAGTTGACTTACGTACCGGGTTGGTGCGAAGATAGTAGGATGGGTCGTTGGATGCTCTGATATGATTCTGAGTCTCTATCACCCTGAAGTTGGGCTTGATTTGCGTTTGGTGGCTCATAGCTTAATCGTGTCTCTGATTATTGACCTGCACCACAAGGTGCTGGGGCATAATAAGATGTCCGTCTTTGCTCGCGCGGCTAGCGTTGAGACGACGTTCTTGCAGCTCCCGAGATTAGAAGATGTTCTGCCGCTGATGGTGTGGTGAAGCTGTGTGTAAATGAGATCGGGTCGGGTTAGACAAGACATCGATTGGGTGAGGTGACTTTCATGGCAAGTACTCATGCCCAGGACCTTCTCTTCCTTTCTCATACCACGGCTCGGGGATATCGAGGTAACCGCGTCCGGAAGCTGGCACAGGTGCAGAAAGTAGGCCAGGTGCGTAGGAGTGAGGGGGAGGGGGGATGAACCCTACCCTCTTCCTGAACGAGCAATGGCACCCAAAGGCAGGGCAAGACGTTGAGGAAGGCGTCCTGGTCTCTTCTGAGCCAATGCAACACATCTCACTTGCTGAGACAAAGACGCACAACCAGATAGCATTTACAAAAGTGTGGAGAGGGTGCTTGAGTTCCGACCTTACGCCGGGGGGGGGGGGGGGCACAATACAGACTCTCGCCCATTCGGCGTCTAGGAACCTTGCAGTCATGAGATTTACGCAGTCACCGCCACTTCTCAACGACCCTACTTACCCGCCTCGGGATTCCTTCAACTGGCCATCCCGTTCAACTTTTGAGGCTATCACGCATATTCGCTAAGGCAAGGGAACATCACGCATTGCTTCTTTGCACAGAAGGGGCTGCGGCGCCACAGGTAAAGCGCATTCATGTCTGGAACCATACGTTATTCGTGCGAAGCCTGCTGAAGCTATCCTACGTGCGTCGGCGCTTACCCCAGGCTCTCAACATTCCTTCATAGACGGACCCCTTTCTCGTCCATCCTCGACTTGAGAAATGCTTTGCGCATGTTCTCATTTCTTTTTTCTCATCTTTGCCTGCCCTCGACATGCAGAAGGGGTCTTGAACGTGGCCTCTCGCAACTTCAGCACCACCCCACGTGCTAGCCGGCAGACACTGCTTGCTCATCACAGCGTGGTAAGAAGGACAAAAGGACGTTTCACAGTTTGGAGGAAACGGCACAAAGCCGCAGGCTGCAATTCATGACCTTTTGATGCAAACGATTTCCGAGGATCTAACCTCCAAACTCCCACGATGTTTCCCCCGTTGTCTGTGACGTTAACAGACGCGCGACTGTTCCGGCCATCCACTTTTTAGAGTACATGTCGGTGCCTTTTTGTTTCTGCCAATGCGTCTCGAGAGTAAAAGCCGATAGGAAAGAATCCTCTTACGAGGGGGGAGCGGCGCCACGGCCACGGCCAAAGCCACCACGGCTATAACATGTATTAGCAAAAAGATGTTCCAACCCTTGCTGTGCGCAGTATCGACATGTGCGCAAAGCATTCGAGGGGTTGAGGCTCACAATTGGGGCTCGAATCCACCAGGGGCACCACCCTCCTTGCCGCCCTCGCCAGCATCACGGCGGCGGTAGCCACCCTCACGGTCACCACGGTCACCTCCACGGCCACGGCCGCCGAAGGGTCTTCTCTCGCGCTCGCCCTCGCCGAGCATGCCGCGGGGGGGAGCGTGGGAGCGCTGCTGCTTGATGTGGGTGGCGGGGACAATCTCGGCGGGAAGGTGAAGCCACTCGCGGAGGTAGTCGAGACCCTCGGGGGTCAGGGTGTAGTAGTAGTACTGCCACGAGAACTGGGTCTTGACATAGCCGCGGGAGGTGAGCGACTGGCAGGCCTTGACGACGAACAGGTTCTTGGTGTCGATGTCGGGGTGCTTGGGGAGGTTGAAGTCCTTCTTCGCGACGAGGACACCCTCACGGAAGAGGTACTGTAATTTTCGTCGTCAGCAATCGCTATCCTCCCAATTTTTCAGCACGTCTGAAAATTGTAAATCTAACCTCGTGGATCTTCTTGCGGTCGGCCTTGGGGATCAACATCGTGGCGGTTGTCGTGGTCGCTGCTGGTCGATGAGTGGGATGTCTGATCGAGCGCTGTCGAGAACTAACAAAAAGTTTCGAAATTCGTCGTGGGAAGGTAGAATAGCCTAGTGGGCGTCAACCCTACGCGGAACGGACGAAGTGTGGGGCGCTCTAATGGCGCACAGAGTCATCACGTGTAGATAACGCCTAGCGATAAGTCGATGTATCCTCAAGACCCGCCACACTTCCTCAGGGTGCTGCGCCTCACCCAGTAGCTAGGTATCTGCGATAAGCCGCACCCATCTCATAATTCATCGTTGTAACCAAACACTGAACATGTGTCTGCCACTTCGCGTCCTTGTCCCGCCTCGACATCGTCACTTGCACATCGACTTATTATTGCGTCGGCGCAAATCAAGAAATCAAATTCTTCGGCTACGGACGTAAAGCATTTCCGACTTCAAAATGGCTGTCAAAAACGTCAACGTATTCATCAGCACCTTTGCTGGGTTGGGCCTACCATCGACACTGGTACTGCCTGTTTCCTCGACGACGACCCTATGCGACTTGCGACAACAGCTTGACGAGCGACTGCCCGCCACAGATAACCGCCTTATCCTGACGACCGTCTCCAACAAAGAGCTGTCAGCTTCTTCTACCAAACCAGTGTCTGATCTTCTGTCATCCATCGATGATGACTTTGTTTCTTTGCGACTTTCAGTACCGCTTTGCGGTGGCAAGGGTGGTTTTGGGTCCCAGCTTCGAGCCGCTGGTGGTCGCATGTCCTCAAAGAAGAAGCGAAATCAGGGAGATGCCAACAACTCAAGCCGAAACCTTGACGGTAGACGTTTGCGGACCGTCACCGAGGCCAAGGCTCTGGCGGAGTACCTCGCCATCAAGCCAGAGATGGAGAAGAAGGAGAAAGAGAAGCGTCGCGAAAGATGGGAGCAGATCGTTGAGCTTGCAGAGAAACGCGAGGACGAGATCAAGAACGGCAGCAAGGGTCGCCTCGACGGAAAGTGGGTTGAGGACAAAGAAGAGTCTAACGAGAGAACCCGCGAAGCGGTACTTGCTGCCATGAAAGCCGGGAAGTATAAGGATAATCTTCTCGGTACTTCGCAAGGATCGACAGGATCAGAGGAGACGGAGGAGGAAATGAGTGAGGATGAGGGTGATGAGGAAGTTGGCAGTTCGAAAGAGTCAACACCGCCATCGGAACCGGCAAAGGCGCCCAAGGATAAGCCGAGAACGTTCTTTGGATTCGATGAGGACGATGAGTTTATGAGTTCTGATGAGGATGAAGTCAAGAGCAAGAAGAAGTGAGCTGACGAGTCGCATCGCTTCTCATCGCCTCTTCACTTTGCTTCTTCTACCATCTTCATCACACTGCTTAGCTTGCGTAAGAATTATAACGGCAAAGGGGAGCGCACGGAGTTTCTGGTCAGCGGGGTTAAAGGAACGGTATCAAGGTTCAAGTTTTTGTACAAATGATCAAATGGGCGGACACTACAGATAGTTTTCACGAAATCATATTCGGCGCCCTGGAGCGTCATCAGCGTCATCGCACGACACGTCCTCCAATGCTCTATTTGAGGTCTCGATCCATCTTGAAGTAATACAGTCGCCCGGCTCCTCCGTCTAACCTGCTCACAACAGAGTCCAAATTTGCTTATGCGTCGAGCTTGACGGGGAAGTTGCCGGCCTCTGTCATGTGTTAGTATGCGTGCTTCTGATATACGGACGGAGTGCTGACCTCTCTGCTCGTCCCAGCGGGTGTACCAGCCAGAGGGGCACAGAGAGCGGTAGCCGAGCCAGAACTGCGACTTGTTAGTTTCTTTCAATTTTCAACAGAACTCGCGGACGGTCCGGACCTGGCGGCAAGGGGCGAAGTCCTCGCCCTTGGCGTTGATGCACTTGTGGTAGTCGACGTAGTTCTGCCAGCAGTGCTTGGTCTGGTTCATGTTCGGGTAGCGGGCATCGGTGCCTATTCAAGCTCATGTTAGGTTCACGTCGCTCATCATTCCCGCTCTCAATTGAGGTGACGCTATCGCGGGTTTCGGTGGTTCGGGCGGAGGGTTCATACCGGCTATAGTGGTCATCAGTTAGCCTCGGAAAAAAGATCAGACCATACTTTGGAGAGGGATATTTCTTCAGCGTACCGGTAACGAACTTGAAGGGCTTGGTAACGAGCTCCTGATCGTCGGACATTTTGGCGGCTTGCGAGTTCAATTGACTGGGAGTCGGATCTGGTGATGGGGTCGAGTGGGCAACGGCGTGCGATCGGTGTTGATGCTTTGAGAGCAATTGAATGGTCGTTCCTGCATCGAGAATCAGGTGGTGACGGGCGAGAACGGGTGGATGCCTGAAGATGGCCAATCGGGCCTCAGGCATTAGAAAGGTGGGCCGAGCTCCAGTCCAACATCAGACCAGACCGATGGAAGTCCAGTCCAACTTCTAAACACTCATTTTGAGATCCAATCCCGATCAACTACGCTCCCTCCCGCCGTACCGACAGGACCGAAAAATCTCCCCTCTTCAGAAAAAAACAAAATCGCCAAAATGCGTCCTACTCTCGGTCTCCGCGCTTTCCGCCCGACTCTGCGCATGATGTCCCCCGTTCCCGTATGTTGAAATTTCGCCGGCCCGGATGAGCGCAATCGCTAATTCTCACATCTCCCCTTAGGCCGAGGACCAAGTCGGTACGTCGAAACCCGCCCCCAGCCATTGAACGCTCCCGCGATATCGGATACCGATCTCGACGATAAACTGTGGTATTGCGAAATGGCTAACAGGAGCTGATATTGTTGATTCCAGGCCACACCGTCTCCCAGAGACTGCGCAAGCTCCGCCAGATCCCCCCCGAACTGATCCCCCTCGGTACGTCATTAGACATTCAAGGTTACGTCAAATTGTTGTTGACGGCATACAGGTGTCGTCGTTGGCTTCGCTCTGGCCGCTGCCACCTACTCTGTCGGACGTCACTTCATGACCGACAAGACCATCCGTCTCAAGCGCCAGGGCAAGTCTGCCGCCGACGCCGGCCACGGAGAGGAGCACCACTAAGCGAAGGTTATGAGGACGACGGGAGAACGGTTGACCATGGCGCTCGTGTGTTATTAGGGAGGATCAGTTTGTATAAGTCTACGACAAAGACAGATCAAAAGGCACCAGAGACGCTGCTTTCATTTCCTTTCTCATTGTGCTTCTCCGCCTCGAGTATTAGAGAAAAGCCGTGCCCCTTTTATATCTCAGTAAATCCATGTGAACGCCGTCGCTATGTAATTCAAACAGGCTTCAGTCGCCTTCGTCCACGCCAACTCATCTTCACTCTGGTCGTGGTCCCGCGACATCGAGCCCCTCCAAACCTTGCATGGGGTCATCCCCACGCATCTCAATCTGTGCTGTGCCCTGGTCTGTTGCCAATCCATCCTCCTCTCCAACAGCATGCTCTGCCAGCCATCCCTCCTATGATGGATGTTAGTACGTTGTTTAAAGCTCGATGAGGTAGGAATATGAATCAGAGGAGAGACATAGTAGCAGAGTGATGGAATTTAGAGTAAAGAAAGAAGAAGATAAGAAGTAGTGAGAACCGCGAACAAAAGATGTGAGACATATATTCAAGGAATGACTGACCTGTTCCCAGACTGCCTTCTTGCTGCCCAAGCCCTCGTCTGCGCTCTTGGGAACTTTGGCGGCTGACACCTTGATGACTCGCCCGAAGAATTCTGACTGATCCATGTTGTCGATGGCTTCTTTCGCGTCCTCCGTATCTTCATACTCAACATAAGCGAAGCCACGGTGAGGATCTGTTGAGTTTGGCTTGTCGTTCTTCGGTAGCGACACATCGGCAATTTCTCCAAAGGGGATGAATGCATCGTGAACGTTGGCGGCCGTCACTATGGAGGCCAGTCCACCAACGAAGACGGTCGACTTCCAGCGCGCAGCGTCCGTCATCTTGACCCAGATTTTAGTCGTTTGGCGATGGTTGAGTTCGTGGACCTGCGCAGCAATACCTCGAGAATGAGCGCGGCTAAGTGATAATGGAGTGAATCTTTCTGATAGTAAGTGGAGATTCTGCGCAAGAGCTGTTGTAAGTCTCTATTGGCTGAAGTGGATTTTAGCTACTTGGAGCTGTGCCGTTGGTCTTTGGGTGTCTTAGCTTTCAGTTACGTAAGCCACACTCAACGACAATTGCTGTTTTCTTCCCCTCCACTGATGTAAGGTATCTTGAGGTATACCCACCTTCAACATCGACTTTGGAAACCTACCTCATCATCTTCTGCCGGAGATACCTACTTCTACAGGCTTATTTCTGTACCTCTATACTTTCTCATCTTGATTGAGGATGCATGGAATTTCCGATGAAAGAAGATGCATCGTGAATATGGCCGCTTATGTAATGGATTCCATGTCCCGCCGCTGCTCTGCGCCTTCCATTCTCCCTGCTGTGATGACGATGCACGTGACGCTACTTTTCCTGCTTGGGCCAGTTGAGAGGTGCACGGTCCAGTGCTAGGGGGGCATGGATGGCTGCGATTTAGGCCTTGGAGAGCTTGGGATGGGGCTGCAATCTGGCATCATATTTCCCTAAGGGCCAGCGTGCACTGTGACACTACCGCTTCAACGACTAATAGCCACCTCTCCCATAAGGCTTGGTTTTACTTTTCTCAACTCCAGAGAATCTCGGCTTTCCTCGCCAGATCTTCTTGTCACTGTCACGTCAACCAATGCCAATTCGCAGCTAGATTTGTCTTTCTCAGACTGGCCGATTTCCCTTATAGCAACGTCTCCCCCCTCCCTCCGAGTGCAGTCCTGGGGACTGAGTGATTCTCGCAATCATGGTCCGCCTCCGCGAGATCCCAAGGACCGCGGCGTTCGCCTGGTCCCCCGACCCGTCGAAGCCTCTTTTGATCACCGGCACTAGGGCTGGAGCTGTCGATGCCGACTTTTCTGATGAGACCAAGCTGGAGCTGTGGGACCTCAACCTTGACAACCAAGACCAAGGCCTCGAGCTGCAGCCCATAGCTAGCATCAGCACCGACTCGAGGTAGGCTCTGCTGCCGCACTACCAATCAGACATCTTGGCTCACGACACTTAGATTCTATGACCTTGCTTGGGGACCGGCCGATTCCGACCACCCGAGGGGTATCATCGCAGGTGCCCTCGAAAATGGCTCTCTCGACTTGTGGGATGCCGAGAAGCTCATCGACGGAGCCGAGGATGCCTTCATGTCCCGCACAACGAAGCACACCGGTGCGATCAAGTCCCTCCAGTTCAACTCCCTCCGACCGAATATTCTTGCGACCGCCGGCGCAAAGGGAGAATTGTTCGTTTACGACATCAACGATGTGGAGAACCCATTCCGACTGGGAACCGCCGCTGCTCGCGCTGACGACCTGGAAGTTGTCGCATGGAACCGCAAGGTTGCGCACATTCTCGCCACCGGAGGCTCTGGCGGTTTCGTCACTGTTTGGGATTTGAAGACCAAGAAGGCTTCTTTGACCCTGAACAACAACAGGAAGCCCGTCAGCGCCATTGCGTGGGATCCCAACAACTCGACGAAGCTCCTGACCGCCACTCACGACGATACTGCTCCCGTCATTTTCCTGTGGGATCTCAGAAATGCCAATGCGCCCGAGAGGACGCTTCAGGGACACGAGCAGGGTATCCTTTCCCTGTCTTGGTGCCAGCAGGACAGCGATTTGCTGCTTTCTTGCGGCAAAGATAACAGGACTCTGGTGTGGAACCCTCAAACGGGAGAGAGACTGGGAGAGTTCCCTGAAGTTACAAACTGGACCTTTCTCACTCGATTCAACCCCGCCAACCCCAATCTTTCTGCCACTGCTGGTTTTGACGGCAAGATCACCGTCCAGACCCTTCAGAACACCAACCCTACGAACACGCAGGCCGCTACCAACAACAATCTCGATGGTGAAGACTTCTTTACCAGTGCTCAGACGCAGCCTCAGGGAGCGTCGTTCTCTTTGAGCCAAGCCCCCAAGTGGTTCGAGCGTCCAGTGGGAGCTACCTTTGGCTTTGGCGGAAAGCTTGTCATTTTCAAGCAAAATGCCCAGCAAAAGTCCACCAAGATCTCCATCTCCCAGTTCTCTGTTGACTCGTCCATCGGTACCTCCACGGAAAAGTTCGAGGAGTCTCTGCAGTCAGGCGATATTGTCGGTCTCTGCGAGTCCCGTAAGGAACAGGCTAAGACCGAGGAGGAGAAGGCGGACTGGCTTGTGATGGAAACTCTTACTGGCGAGAATCCGCGGAAGCGTATTGTTGAGTACCTCGGATTCAACGAGGAAGAGATCACCAACGGAGTCTCGGGCAAAGAAGAGGCGAAGCCTGAGGATGCTGCGGCTGACAAGGAGGAGGACACGAAGGAGGCAGAGAAGCCCGACAACATGTGGGGCGAGGCCGACGGAGAAGGGGAAGAAGACTTCTTGTCGAATCTCTCTGCGACCAAGGGCGCCAAGACGGACAGTCCTTTCCACCTGCTGGCCGACACGGATACCACTGTGGAGAAGTCCATCACCAAGGCTTTGATGCTTGGAAACTTTGCAAAGGCCACTGAGATCTCCCTCAAGGAAGAGCGTTGGGCAGATGCTTTCCTCATTGCCAACTGCGGTGGGCAGGAGCTGGTGGACAAGGTGCAGAGTGCCTATTTGGCCAGCAAGGACGGTGTCCCAAGCTACGTTCGCTTGCTCGGATCAGTTATTGCCAAGAACCTGTGGGATGTTGTCTACAACGCCGACCTCGAGAACTGGAAGGAGTCAATGGCCATTCTTTGCACGTTCTCTGACCCCAAAGAGTTCCCCGATCTCTGCGAGGCTCTTGGCGACCGTATCCTCGAGAACGGCTCACGCAAGGATGCTTCTTTCTGTTTCCTCGTTGGGTCAAAGCTCGAGAAGGTCGTTTCCATCTGGATCACAGAGCTTGAGGAGGCCGAGCAGGCTGGCATGCAGGAACCTAGCGATGATTCGACGTTCTCTGTGCACGCTCGATCACTTCAGCACTTCATCGAGAAGGTGACCATCTTCCGTCAAGTCACAAAGTTCCAGGACTCTGGAAAGGAGCAATCTGCCGACTGGAAGCTGTCAGCTTTGTACGAGAAGTACACTGAGTACGCCGAAATCATTGCCGCCCACGGTCAACTCGCAGTTGCCCAGAAATACCTGGACTTGCTACCCAAGGAGTACCCTGAGGC